CATCCGCTTTTTTCCTCTAACCACTATGGTCGCCTTGCAAAGTTCACGATACAAAAAAGCTAAAATTGTATAACCCCAACTATATTGGCGACATACAAGGAAATTGTTCAATATCGGAAAATATTGGGTGTGCACCAAATTGTCCGATTTATCCGGTAGCAAGATCCCTCCAATCAATATCATAAGATATACTCGGGTTACATATTTCACCTATTGCTCCGTTGATTGTTCATCTACTCTAAATTCTCTTTCCAACCACGTCATCTGTATCCGCATCACATTAATGACATCAGCTAGAGCCTCATTTCTCAATAAATCAGAAATAATTGCATCTCGCGCATAATTGTTGCGAAACACCAATGACATACCATTAATTGGAACGCCAAGTTGATACAACATCTTCCAATGTTATCGTTACTTCACCAAAAGAAAAATAAAACGTATGCGTTTCGGACCTCCAACGCTCAATCAACGACGATATCAGTGTCGACATCACCTTAAAACCACTAAGAAACATCAATGTATATAATCCGGATTGTTGAAGATATATCTTCGCTAATGTGGCTCTTCATTCGTCATTCCTCGATGATGAATTTTGCGTTCTTCTTGCCACAATTTGAAAATAAATTAATTAATACAAGTATATAAATAATTATTATTAATACTATAATTTTGTCAAAACTAAAATCAAATAAAACAAATTAAATTTATCGTAGTCAACTCGATCGACGAAATATGAACAACATCAAGACGTAATATTTCTTCCCTTGAGACTATTTTAACACAAAATCTTCAACAAAAAGTTTTCACTTGAAATCAAGTTTTCACTCTCAATAGAATGTTTTATTTCAAGTGAAAAATCAATTTAACCCAAACCTCTATTTTTATTACTCTATTCAACGACTATAAACGACTAGTTTTTTAAATAAAAAGTAGCCGTTGGAACTCGTCACACCAGTGTGACGAGTTCTATTGGATTTAAAAAAAATTGACCGTTCTCCAACGATCACCCGAACGGTCGAAAAATTCAAATTTTTATCTGTTGGAAATCGTCACACCGACGTGACGAGTTCCTTACCCATTAAATATATATATATATATATATATATATATTAACAATATTTTTTAAATTTTCAAAAATATTATTTTTTATTCGAATTCATCACGCAGGCATGACAAGTCTCACGACTTATTAAAAAATTATATTTCATAAAACTCGTCACGTGAACTTGATAAGTCAACATGACAAGTTCATCTCTACTGTAGCTTTAGATCCCAAAATAAAAATCAGGATGCAATATTGAGCTAAATAATTGGGCCCTGCATTATCCCACTAATTTTTCCCCATCCAGTTCCTTGCACTCAACCGCAGTAAAGACGATGAACAACCCAGCAAAGAACACCACCACGAAAATATGAAACCTACAGGTGGATGACCCAGAAAACCGCAGCAATGATTACGGGGGATCAAGCCACCTTTTATCCTCCGTCGCCTGAAGGAGGACCGAACCTGGAGCATCTTCAACCTAGAAACGGTCATCAACATCAAGAGAGACCTGAGCAGCGAGAAGGTGAGCAGCCCGATTACCCAATTGAGGAACGAACCGAAAATCTACAGCCACCAAAGACAAAGCATACTGTTTAGCCTCTCAAGTGAAGGCATTAATCTCCAAACGATTCAGAACGGAAGCGTTAATGTTCTGAACTACCGCCCACGCGTCCCCTTCAAAAATTGTCCTCACAAAATCCAAATCAGCTACAAGTTCCAAAGTATGGACTACCCCTCTAGCCTCCGTCTCAAAACTAGTGGTAACACCTTCCACCCTACATATGCAAGCCCTTATTACCAACCTCTCATCATTTCTTGTGATGGCTACTGACCAAGATTCTTTTCTTGCATGGAGAAATCCAGAGTCAAAATTTGCTTTAACAAATGAACTCGAAGGTAAATACTAGTGAATATGAGCAACTGAAAGGTACCGAGCAACTTGAGAGGAGGTTGTGGCACACTCCAGACAGTGAACCCGAACAAAGGTTAGTACTTCATGTACTAGAGTCCGTTTGCCCTCATGAACCAGCTTATTCCTCGCATACCAAAGTGCCCAAATAATATAAAGAATTTCATCATGTTTAGCTGCGTTGTAACGATCAAATAGCCAATTTACCCAGGGAGTGAACTCAGCTTGACCAAAAGGCGTCAACAAACGATAGCTCAAAGATTGTCAGACTTCACTTGCCAAAACACACTCACACACAAAATGGGTACAAGTCTGACGCCAGACAGAATAGTGATTATCCTGTAGGCTAGTTCCGACAGACGATTCACAAGAGAAAATTCGCCTAAAAACCAGAGAAAAAAAGTCTCTAGGGTTTAATAAAATATTATAAAATCAAACAATCCCAAAAAGCAGTCCACAAGCCGGACTGTTATAGCAAAAAAATCGTCTTTATTCGGGTTTTGCCAAAAATAGCAAAATCTCGAAAATCACTCTAAATTGAAATTCGAAATAAAATAAGCAATCTCCCAAAAATCCGGCCTAAATCGGATTTAAATTGACTTCCTAATTAATAATCGAAATATTACCATAAATAGTAAAAAATAACTAAATCTAGTGATTCGGAGGGGAATACGGCAGAATTTGAGGTTGAAAAAAAGGCCACATGGAGCATATCTCAATGTGGAGAGCGTGCGCGTCGAAAAGAGTTTTCCGGATTGGGGTCTTATGCGCGATTCTGACACCTGTAGCCAAAGTTATGGCCAAAAGACTGAAACATACTCAAAACGACCCCAATGAGGAACATGTCACAATCAATTCCCGCCTTTGCGCTGATCTGCCAACTCATGGTATCTCAGCGCCATCAACGTGCAATCTGACAGCTCAGCATCATCTGTCTCGGATCCCCTGCATCAAAGTCTCAATAGAATAATGACAAACTGGACAATAGGGATCAACAAGCAAGCGACGAAAATGTAAGTAGAACAATTTAGCACAAAGTTATGAGTAAATCTCCAAACCAGTAGTTTGATTTTGTGTTGACATTCCGCACCCCATAACCTGCGATACAAATTAGGAAAAAGAGGGACCTCATTACTAGGAAGTAGCAACCTATAGCCACTTTTTACACTATAAATACCCTATTTCTCACCACATCACACTTGGTTATCATGTTGTTCAAATAAAAAGAGGAATATGGCAAATAAGGGATGACTCCTAGTCATTAAAAATGGATAAAACTCTATCAACCTTCCAAGACCGAGCAATAGGATCGATAAGTTCAGAAACCGAGTTAACCAAATTGGTCCTGGGTGAACCAACCAAATTAGGTACAGGGTAGGAAGCCAAAAGCCATTCCAGACAAAAATGCTAGTCCCCGACCCCACCTTCCACCTCAACCCCTTTTCTAGCAGACCTCGCGCACTCCACACACTGCGCCAGACGTAAGCCGGATTAGAACCCAACCTTGCACTCAAAAAATACGACGATGATAAATATTTTGCTCAAAGAAACTGAACAAGCAACGAATCGGGACGAGTGATCAGTCGCCAACCTTGCAGTCTTGCTTCACCAGAAGGGCAACATTAAACTTGGCTAACGAACGAAAGCTAAGCCCCCCACTAGCTTTTAGAGAATTGATAGTCTCCTAGGAAAACCAGTGAATATCCCTCCTTGTGGAGGACTTCCTCCACTAGAATCTTGTCATGACACTTTCCAACTCACCACAAACTGATTTAGGATGCAAAAACAGCTCATCGCATAAAGAGGAATGGGTTGAAGCACTGACTTAACAAAGATCTCCTTCCCCCTTGAGAAAGCATTCTCGTACTCCAGGAGTTGGTCCGAGACAGGAACTGCTCCTTCAAATTGAGGAAAGCCCCCCATTTTATTCCCGACAATAATAACTGGAAGGCCTAAGTACCTCTTAGGATTAGAGGTGTTCAGAACATCAAGAACCTTGCGAACATCCGATTTGTTGCTCTCAATCACAGTAGAGCCAAAACAGAGACCAAATTTATCAAAATTTATGGTCTGCCCCAAGCTTCACCCATAAATCTCCAAAAACGCCTTTAACTCGCACGTCATCCTAGTAGTAGCTTCACCAAATATCAAACTAAAAATAAGATGAGTATTGGAGGGTGCATACCAATTGATTCACACCCCTCAAAGATTCATAGAATCCTGAGCTTGCCAGAATAAGTTTGAAAGACCCTCGCTACAAATGAGAAACAAATAAGGGTTAAAAGGATCGCCCTGATATAAACCACGATGTGGAACAAAAGATTCACCCGTGACGTCATTGACGATCACCGTAAAAGAAGTAGAACATATGCAACAACGTAGATAAGCAATCCAGGTCACATAAAAGCCCATACACTCCATCACCTCCCACAAGAAGGGCCATTCCACACGATTGTAGGTCTTATTCATATCTATTTTGAACGCGAAGAAGCCCAGACACCCATCTCGACGAATCACAGAAGAGTAAAACAATTTATAAGCTATCACTATATTATCAGAAAAGTGTGCACTTGATGTTAATTTTCATTCAAAATTTAATTAATTCACATAATTAAAAGTGGGAACAGAAAAAAAAGGTAGATAACCCACTTAATTGATAACCATCCATCCCCACCTACTAGTACTTGATTGACCACGTAGTTTTCAACATCTTTTGAATTTTATTTATTTTTTCACCTTCTTTAGTCAATAAATTAATTATTAAGAATTATGAATTTAATCCTCATATTCTTCAAAAATTTATGAACAAGAAGATCAACTTTACATTGTATCTTTTGCAGAAACTCAACCATATGTATATATACACCTTTCTTTACGCAAGATTCCTCTAAAGTAAAATTCAAACCGCAACAACTTCTATCAACCTTCTCAACTCGTATGAGAACTGCACAGAACTAACTGCTTATACACACAAATATATATATATATATATATATATATAATGCAATACTATATGTATTTAAGGAAGAAGAAAGTTACAGATTACAATGACAGTCTGAGCTCCAAATCTAGTTGTCGTGCATCACCTGATTCAGAATTCTGACTGCTGGGTTCCACCGAGTTGCTTCTCTGCTTGATCTTTGTTGGTTTTGAATCCTGTACGTATTGGAAAATATTTGTATAAGAATGTGTATTATCGATATTTATATAAGAGTATTGTTTATGGAAACCCTACTAGTAGATTTAGAAGTTGTCGGGTCTGGTTCGGTTGTGCAAAATTTTGACCGTCTAATATGCCATTTCTGGTGTTCCAACTGTTGCAAATGATTGGAACATATTAAGCAATATATATAAATATATACACATACATATACATGTATATATATCATAAAATGTATATATGCACCTTGTTGTAGTTGTAGGTAAGGAATCAGCATATATGATACTTTGATTATGTTTGCAGTGCCCCATCTGCAATACGAGGCAAGTGAAGATTTTGTTTCGTGGGGGAAATTACTATCTAGGGCTATTTCTAATGATGATGATGATGGAAGAATATATGTATATAGCAAAAATATTCTGCCATGAATCATGATTGCTGCTTTAAAGACGACCATTATACATACATTAGTAAAGTAAATACAGCAGTTGAAATGGATGATCATTAACAGAAAATCATGTACAACTATACAAAGAAACCTACCATCTTGCTGGAGTGGAAACCATAAGAAGCCAAGGAAGTTGATGAATATGAAAGAGATGAATAAGCTTTCTGCCCCCTCATATCTTCCTGCACTTGCACACATCCCAGGAAATATGAAGGGATAGGGAAGCCATAAAAATGGTTAAAAAATCAGAGTGAAAGGTGAAATTACGTGGTTGAAATCTCCAGGGTAAGTTCCATAAGGAGAAGCCATTTTTCCGTGTAAAATCCTCTCCAATTGATCAACACCAAGCCCTCTCCGGGGTGGCCTAGACTTCTCTGAATTACTCTTTTTCTTGCCTTTACTTGAAGACGACGACCCTCCTCTCTCATTTCTCATGTTTGCTTCTCCAAAAATCAACTGCTATGTATGTGCAAAATAAAATAAAATCCCAAGCTTTCTCTTTCAGCTGAAGAATCAAGTTAAAAGATCTCAACTGCCCCTTTCAAAGCTGCTAGATCAGATTTTTTACATTATATATATATATATATGTCACAACCGTCTTTCGCTTGGGCCCCAGAATCGGGCTTCGACTTGGATTAAATGAATTAGGAGTCGCCACCGATCATTTATTTAAAAATAAATAGGTTGATCGGATACCCTATTTCTTACCTGTTCTGCGTCTTACCAGAAATATGTCGGGCTCGGGAGTCGGTTACGGTCAAGGAAGGATTAGCACCCTTGAACCGCCCTTTCGGTACTACATAATTTCCAATTGTCTTAATTAAGAAAAATTGTAACTTTAAATTAAAAGGTAAAATAGCGATCCCTAAACTTACCTCTGATTGGTTGAAACTCTTATTAAAAAGGTCGAAAATGTTAGATAAAAATAATAATAGTAAATGAACATTAAATAAATCAAAGGGAAGAAGCATAAATAAAATAAAAATAATAAATAAATAAATGTAATATATGAATGAATGTGAGATGGGATGAAATAACGTGTCTCCAGCTGCCCCTCTTTGCTTATTATCGTGTAACGAAAATGGAGCAAAGACTAATAGACACAAATTTCATCCATATCGAATGTCCTCTGTTGTAGAGTTGAAATCCGATGTTGAAACTGGTTTGTCAATTTGAATCGCGAAATGACTCCCTCGTCGCAAGGTCGAGTTGAACTGGGAGTTTATGAGCATGATATCCTTCGTCGTGAAGTTAAAATCGAACTAAAAGCTTTTGGTGGGCGGCCTCTGAATCATCTTCTGGCTCAAGATACTTCATCGTGAAGGTGGAACTTGACTTGAAAACTTTGGTGTTGATGTGTTACAGATGACTTTCTCGTCGTGAAGTTGAGCAATCTGTTTGTGAAGTTGGAATTGTATATGGCTCATTCGTCGTGAATTTGAGCCTGAGAATTGGATATCCTTCGTCGTGAAGTTGAAATCCAATGCAAGATGCGTTGTTTTGAGGCCAATATCCTTCGCTGTGAAGTTGAAATTGGCTCTAAAACCGGGAAATTACTTGTTGACAACCAGCGGTCCCTTCATTGTGAAGTTGAACTTGTGTTGTCTGGGCCCAATCTCCTTCGTTGTGAAGTTGAAATTGGCTCTGAAATTGGGAAGTTGTTTATTGACAACCAGCGGTCCCTTCGTCGTGAAGTTGAACTTGCGTTGTCTGGAGTCTAATATCCTTCGTTGTGAAGTTGAAATTGGGAAATTGTTTATTGACAACCAGCGGTCCCTTCGTCGTGAAGTTGAACTTGCGTTGTCTGGAGTCCAATATCCTTCGTTGTGAAGTTGAAATTGGCTCTGAAATTGTTTATTGACAACCAGCGGTCCCTTCATCGTGAAGTTGAACTTGCGTTGTCTGGAGTCCAATATCCTTCGTTGTGAAGCTGAAATTGGCCCTGAAATTGTTTATTGACAACCAGCGGTCCCTTCGTCATGAAGTTGAACTTGCGTTGTCTGGAGTCCAATATCCTTCGTTGTGAAGTTGAAATTGGCCCTGAAATTGTTTATTGACAACCAGCGGTCCCTTCGTCGTGAAGTTGAACTTGCGTTGTCTGGAGTCCAATATCCTTCGTTGTGAAGTTGAAATTGGCTCTGAAATTGAGAAATGTCTGTTGACAGCCAGCGGTCCCTTCGCTGTGAAGTTGAACTTGCGTTGTCTGGAGTCCAATATCCTTCGTTGTGAAGTTGAAATCAACTCTGGGTAAAACCTGCAAAGATATGCGTATATGCGATGTTATGGATGTCATGCTCTTAGGTATGCCTAAAATGTATATGCAACATATGTTATTCTGGGCTCTAGAGAGAAATCTCGATCTCCGGTGGCCTGTCGTTGTTGACTCTTGATTTTGAAAGCTTGAAGTTCCGATCTCTGATCTTGAATTCTTCAAATGTTTAAATATGATGTGCACATTCTGTTTTTTTTTGATTTGGGAGATGCTCCTCAACCATCTCAAGCATGTGCATGAGCCTTGATCGGTTTCTGGGTACCTGTACTTTTCAATGAATCTTTGTACAGTAATATGCGATTATCTTTCACAAAAAATAAATAAATCATTAGGTTTAAATCTAATTCAAGATACTCAGAAGGAATCAGAGGAAAGATTGCCTTTATTCATAAGGGAGGAGAAGAACAAATAATACATGGCAAACATTCTAGAAAACGAATACACGATGATGTGTAAATGACTGTCTTAGATCTCGATAATGTGGGCACTTCTGAGTTGAAAAGCCGTTTGGTGACCTTGAATGCAGCCTTTGCCAAAGGATCTTTGAAAATGCGACAACGTTTGGGAGGGTACAACATTTCTCCGATTTGTTGAGTTCGTAGAAGATTCATGTGCCGGGATGTTTCCACCGTTAATATCCAAATCGCCCTTTCTGGGTTTTCAACTTGGACCCATCCTTGGTTGCAAGACGCCCTTTGCGGGTTTTCATCTTGAACCCACCTTATTTTCTCTTCTTTTGTTTGTTTTTCTATTTTTTTTTCAATTTAGGGCGCCCTTTCGGGTTTTCACTCTAAACATTTTTTTTTAATTTAGGGCGCCCTCTCGGGTTTTTATCCTAAGCGAAATATTTCTTGACTGCGTCCGAGTTGATGGGATGTGACAGTTCAGGTCCTTCCATTTCAACCAGGACAAGAGCTCCTCCGGAGAAAGCCTTTTTCACGACATAAGGTCCTTCCCAATTTGGCGTCCATTTTCCTCGGAAATCCTTCTGGATTGGCCAAATTCTTTTTAACACTAGATCCCCTTCGCGGAATATTCTCGGGCGTACCTTTTTGTCATGTGCCCAAATCATTCGTTTCTGATAGATTTGACCATGATGAATGGCTTTCAGTCTTTTTTCCTATATCAGATTAAGCTGATCATATCTAGATTGTACCCACTCTACATCGTCTAGTTTGACTTCTGTCAAGACCCGAAGAGACAGAATCTCGACTTCAATGGGTAGGACTTCTTCCATTCCATAGGCTAGTGAAAACGGAGTTGCACCAGTCGAAGTTCATACCGAGGTTCGATAAGCGAACAAAGCAAAAGGCAACTTCTCATGCCAGTCTTTATAAGTTTCAGTCGTTTTCTCCACTATCTTCTTAATGTTTTTGTTTGCTGCTTCTACTGCTCCGTTCATCTTTGGTCTGTAAGCAGTGGAATTGTGATGTTTTATGTTGAACTGTTCGCAAGCAGCACTCATCATCTTGTTGTTCAAGTTTGTTGCGTTATCGGTGATAATCCTTTTAGGTAGACCATACCGACATATAATTTCTTTCTTCAGAAACTTGCAAATAGTGGATTGAGTGACACTGGCATATGACGCAGCCTCTACCCATTTCGTGAAATAGTCAATTGCTACGAGAATGAAACGGTGACCATTCGAAGCCTTCGGATGGATTTGCCCGATAACGTCCATGCCCTACACAGAGAAAGGTCATGGTGACGCCATTACATGAAGCGGATGGGGTGGAACATTTATCTTGTCTCCATAAATCTGACATTTATGACATCTCCTAGCATAGTTGATGCAATCGCTTTCCAGCGAGGACCAAAAATATCCGCATCTCATTATTTGTCTTGACATCATATGCCCATTTGCATGTGCTCCACAAACTCCATCGTGTACTTCTTCCACTATCATTTTTGCCTCTTCAGCATCGACGCACCTTAACAGAACTTGGTTATGGCTTTTCTTGTATAAAACCTCTCCGTCAAGGACGTATCCAGCTGCCAACCTTCTAAGGGTTCTCTTATCAGTTTCGGTGGCTTTTTCTGGATAACTCCGATGCTTGATATACTGCAGAATGTCGTAGTACCAAGGCTTAGTGTCTTTCACTTCTTCAATTTGGTAACAATGAGCTGGGTATTCAAATGACTGCATGTTAATTGGCATCATTTCAGACTCCCCACCAGCCCTGAATGTGGCTGCCAATGTAGCTAAAGCGTCAGCCATCTGATTTTCTTCTCTAGGCACGTAGTGGAAGGTGACTTCGTCGAACTCTTCGAGTAGATCCAGCACTAGTCTCCGGTATTCTAACAGTTTTATATCCTTAGTTTCCCATTCTCCTCGGAGCTGATAGATTACTAAGGCTGAATCACCATACACCCGCAAAGTCTTTATATTTTGCCCCAATGCAGCCTGAATTCCCAAGACGCATGCTTCATATTCAGCCATGTTATTGGTGCAATCAAAGTTTAGTCTGCTGGTAAATGGGTAATGACTCCCTTCCTGAGAGATCAGGATTGCCCCGATGCCATGTCCTAATGCATTTGATGCTCCATCGAACTGCATTTTCCAGGAGCTGTCTGTTGAAGTATCTGCTTCTTCTAAAGATATGGCCATCAAGTTTTCATCTGGGAAATCAAAGTCCAGCGGCTCATAGCTCTCATCAGTTCTGCTTGCCAAAAAATCGGATATGGCACTGCCTTTTACCGCTTTTTGGCTCACGTATTCGATGTCAAATTCAAACAAAAGCATCTGCCATCGGGCTAACCTTCCGGATAGAGCAGGTACACCCATCATGTATTTTAGTGGGTCTAACTTGGAAATCAGCCAAGTGGTGTGATACAACATGTATTGTCGAAGTCTTTTTGTAGCCCAGACCAGGGCACAACAAACCTTCTCCATAGGAGGATATCGGACCTCGCAATCGGTGAACTTCTTGCTTAAGTAGTAGATGACTCTTTCCTTCTTCCCGGACTCATCATGTTGACCCAGGACACACCCCATGGAGCTCTCGAATATGGAGAGATACAAGAACAGAGGTTTTCCTGGGATAGGGGACATCAGGATAGGAGCGTGGGACAGGTACTCTTTTACCTTCTCAAATGCAATCTGACAGTTTTCATCCCATGTTCCAGGGCTGTTTTTTCGGAGAAGGCGAAAGATTGGATCACACTTGTCAGTTAACTGAGATAT